ATTAGCAGTTTTTGATTTATAGTTACCATCAGGGTTATACATAACATCCTGTGCATATAGCAGTCTGCGTTAAGTTGATGGTTGCTTAAATTTGAACCCATTCTAGAAGCACTAAGTCTTTACTGCCCACCATGTTTTATGAATGTGATGTCGTACTTTATATCCTTTTGTGAATCCCTTGATCCTTTGACCGACCTATTTTATAGACATATTTGATTTTCCTGCTTTTGTGCTTTAACCTCCATACTGGTTTTATAAATGATTAATCTACTACTTTTATTGTGTCTGTATGCATCTGTGAAGTTTTTTCCTTGGTTAATTTTCTTACTCCTGGTTATGATTTTTAACATTCCAGAGAATTCCCTTTAACACTTTTTATATGGCTGGTTCGGGGGGATAAGCTTCTTTACCTTTTATTTGTCTGAGAAATTCTTTATCTTCTTTTTGTCTCTTCTGAATGATAATCTTGCTGGATAGAATATTCTTGGCTGCAGATTTTTTTCCGTTTAGCACTTTGAATATATCATGCGATTCCCTTTTGGCCTGCAGAGTTTCTGCTGAAAAATCAGCTGATAGCCTTATGGGGCTTCTCTTGTATGTAACTGTTTTCTCTTGTTGCTTTTAAAATTCTTTTCTCTCCTCCTTGAAGGATTCCTGTAATGCAAATGTTATTATGCTTGATGGTTTTGCTGAGTTCCCTTATCTATTCTCATTTTTTATTCATTTTTCTTTTGCTTTTCAGCCTGCTTGCCTCCAGTACTCCGTCTTCTAGCTCACTGCTCTGTTCTTCTGCTTCCTCTACTCTGCTATTTATTCCATCTAGTGTATTTCTACTTTCAGTTATTGAGTTCTTCTGTGATTAGTTCATTTTTATATTTTCTCTTTGGGGTTTTTTTTTTTTTTTTTTTTTTGGTCTCTCTGAGTCCTCCACTCCTTTCTCAAGTCAGGTGAAAATCTTCATGATCATTACTTCGAATTCTGTAACAGGCATATTACTTATCTCCACTTCATTGAACTCTCTTGCTCTGAATTTACCCTGTTTTTTCATCTGGGACATACTCCTCTGTTTCATTTTGTCTCAATCGCCAGGTCTGTTTTCCTTTGTCAGGGAAGTCAGGTGTGTCTCCTCATCTTGAAAGCAGTGGCCTCTGAAGAGGCCTGTGCTCAAGGTGCTGGACTGTGCCCCTGCTCACCAGACTGTGCACCCCAGCCCTCTCCTGCGGGTGTTGTTTGCGCCCTGATGTACTTGAGCTGCATGTGCCTCCCAGTCGCCTGCAGTGACCGTATTTGCCTGTTGGAGGCAGCGCTGGGTCCCTCTGCTGGAAGGGGCCAGTCTTGGATGCCCTGAGTCAGACCTGATGCCTCCTCTTAGCCGTGTACTGGGCTGCAGTCACACCAGACTATACGGTGTTCTCCTCGCCCCGGCCCCTAAGGGGCTTTCACTGGAGCTGGGGCCAGCGGTCAGGCCAGATAGCGGACCCCACTTTGACTGTGGAGGTTGCCGTAGCTGAATACCAGGACTCTCTTCTTTCTGCTGCCCCCACGAGGCTTTTGTTGCTGGGTGGGGCCCACTGCTGGGGCTGCCGTTGGCATGGTGTGTGTGGTGATCTTCCCCTCTCTCCTTGGCAGGAGTCCCTTTGTCCTTTGTCCCTTTGGCGTGGTGCTGGTCCCTATGGGCTTGTTTGTGGAGTGAGATGAGGGAAGCGCCGCTCTGGGCGGACTCCTGTCAGGTGGACTGTTGGATGGGGCGGATCCACAGGATAACGTGATGGCAGGGCCTTGGGTGTTAGACCCGGATGGGGACTGGAGCCCCCTCGGAGGGCTGCCTGCAGGGTGGGGCAGGTTGGGTGGAACGAGTCTGGAGGAGAGCAGGGGTGGGGTGTGGTGGACTGTCAGCACGTGAGGCAGCCTGTGTAGATGCTGGTTCCTGTAGGTGTCCAGGCATCTGGACCCGGGCCAAGGAGAGGAATGGTGCCTGCCAGTTCTTGTGTTCTTGAAGAATTCTCCCGAAGGTCTCTGCCCCTCCTGGGCCCGATCTGTGGTTAGTAAATGAATACCCTGAGGAGGTTTCTGCACCGCTATCTCTGAGCTGTCTCAATGGGCTGTTTGCTTGGCTGTCCTTTCGGGCACAGGGACTGCTTGTAGTGCCCGCAGGCTCTCCCAGAGGTAAGCTGAGTTTTAAAGTGCCTTGAGTTAAGCCCCACTGATTGTAAAAACTCACAAAGCCCAGCCCCACTGATTTTCAAAGCCCAGTGTTATGGGGCCTTGTCTTCCCAATACAGGCTCCCCTACGTCAGGGCTGGCTGGTGTGGAGTCTGTTCCTCTCCCTTCCCTACACTCGTGACCTCCCTCCTGTTCGTGGTTAGTCTCATGGTGCTCTTTTGGTCCCGGGGTGGGTCTCTGTCCCTCCTCCTACTGATCTACCATCGACTGTGGAGAGCTTCTTCTGCTGGTCTTAGGGGTTCATTCTGGGTGAGTTACCCTGATGTGGCTGTCACCTGGGTGTGTTCACAGTTGGAACCGCTCCACCTGCCATCCTCCCTGGAAGCCTGAGAAATCCCCGTTTTCGTATCTATTTGTACGAATCAAAAGCAGGAACTCAAACGGGTAGTTTACACATGAGTGTTTAGGACAGCATATTCACAATAGCCAGGAGGTGGACCCGACTTAAATACTGATTGACGGTTGAATCAGTAAAGGAGACATGTCGTAGCCGTACAGGAGAACAGAACTCAGCCTTAACGGAATCCTGGCACATGCCACAATGTGGATGGACCTTGAGGACATCATGCTAAAAAACGAATGCCTCCAGAAGAAACTTGAATATCTATTGGACCTTGGGGTAGGGAAAGATTTCATAGCAGTCAAAAGTCACTGATTAGAGTGAATCTCATGAAAATTAAAATTTTCTCCTGTGGTATACGAGTAAGGGTGAGAAGGTGAGCCACAGATTCAGGGTAAATATTTTCAAAACATACACCTAGAAACAACGTGTACTGTGATATATAAAGAACTACTGTGAATTGCCATGAAAAGGCAGTTCAAAGGCTGGACTAAACTTGAACAGTCACTTGACAACAGAAGCGCACTTGAGTCCGGCAGGCCCGTGGCGGGAGCTCGGCCTCGGCCATCGGTTGAATGCAAACTAACACCCCCCGTCAGAGTCCCCTCCCCAGCCGTGATGGCGTCTGCTGTGGAAAGCCCGAGAGTACCAGGTGTTGCTAAGGAGTCTCCTGCACGGCAGACGGAGATGGGAACTACCGTAACCGCTGGCGAGCGGTTTGGTGATTTCTTTAAAATTAAAATCTGCACTTGCCGAGAGCCCAGCAATGACCTCTCTCTAGACATTTAGGGAAGAGGAATGACCGTGCCCCATCAACACGTGTGCACGTCTTTGCTGCAGGTGTTTCGTGATGGCCCAGACCGGGACGTGATGCAAACATCCGACAAGCGGAGACGTAAACGAGTTACGATACATTCATAGGTTGCATTAGGTCGCGCCGGTCAGACCGTACAATGTGCTGAGACACGCAGCCGCGTGGGTGAACGGATCCAGCACGACTGCGATCGCGTCAAATCTGTAGGTCCTCTGACGCCTGCGATTCTGTTTGTGTGAGGGCCGAGAGCCGAGGACCGCTGGTCGCAACACCCGATGGCGGCGTTTACTCGGGGTGGGGTGCACTGGGAGGGCACACGGGAACGTGGGTTGATGGACGTGTGCTGTGCGTCGGCGGGGGCGGTGGTCCCGTGGGCCCATCTCCACGAGCTAAAATTTGTAGTTGTACTGAAGACCTGAGCGGTTCGCTGCATGGACATTCTATACTCTTCTGACCTGCGAATGAGTGCCGACCCGCTTCATAGCTCTTCTTTCCACGGGGTCTTTTCACACTTCCTCCAAGAGGAGGTGTGGGCTGCAGGGGCCGGGGGGCGGCGGGGTGGCCTCGGTTCTGAGATGCTAGTCCGCGGGAGATTTCCTAGGAATCGCGGGGACGTGGTGTGTTTGGCGGTGGAGGGTGTGGACCGTGGACGGGTTCGTGGCTGGGCTCACATCCTGCGGTGCCACTTGTCATGCGAATGCCTGGGACGGCCTCACGCCTGCACTTCCTCGTCCGGGAAGTACCGGGGCTGCCTCCTCAGTGGCCTCGTGGGGCCGAGTATGTGGAGCCCAAGCGCCTGACTTCGGCCTCCCTGTCAGACGTGACGCGGGAGCCAGGCTGCCTGGACCCCTCAGAAGCCCTCGTCCTGGCGTGTCCGTCCCCAGGGCGGTGTCCTCTCTGCCGCTGACTCACCTTCCACGCCCGGAGCCGCGCTTCGTCTGTGCCCGGGGAGCACGTTGACAGCATGTTTATTAATGCTGGTCACATCTCACACCGACACGGCTCTCCCTGGCCTCCCCGCGCAGTAGGCCTCCTGCCCCAGATGACTGCCTTTTGGGTGTCCCTTAGCCGTTGGAAATCAGCTGCGTGACACACAGCTCCTGTCCGCCCGGTCCTCCACGTGCCCCGCCCCGAGGGCGCTTACAGGGGCGGCGTTCGGTAAGGATTTGTGCGCAGTCCAGTGGGCTCATATACCCAAAAGGCCAAACACAGCGACCGGTCCCTGAGAGTCTGGTGTCGTCCGTGGAGATCGTTGCCGCAGCCTGTGAGGCGCCCCACGGCCGCGTGGCCGAACGTGGACGGGATCACGAGGTTTGACGGGGGCGGCCTCTGAGGAGATTCCCGCAGGCCCGCTGAGGGAGGAAAAGTCGGACGGCCCTTTGCGGCCAGTATGTGATTCTCTTTACGGGCTCTGGGGTAAGAAAGTGGGATAATTGAGTCTGGATGAATTTGGTTGTCGTTTCTGCAGCTTTCGGGGCGCTTCCTTCCTTCCCCACCTGTGTGTCTGTGACAGTTTCTGCAGGAGGATCGGCTGTTTCAAGGACCAGACCGAAGGGGAGAAAAGGACGGGGCCTTCAGGACGTCCCTGAACAACGAGCTGACCAAGCTGTCCTTGTCTTTCAGACGTCCACACGGAAGCCGTGCAGGCGGCACTGGCCAAGCACAAGGAGAGGAAGATGGCGGTGCCCATGCCTTCCAAGCGCAGGTCCTTGGTGGTGCAGACCTCGATGGACGCCTACACGCCCCCAGGTGAGCGGCGGGCCCGCTGCCTGCTTCCCGACGTGACGCGTGGGCCTCGGAATCGCTCCCCTCGCTCGGCCGGCCCCCGGCTTTGTAGCGTGGGACGGAGGGCGCGCTGACTCCGACGTCGTGAGCCGGCAGGCCGGCGTGTACCCCTCAGCCCGGCTTGGAGGGAAGATGAACGTGATGGCTGTGTCTGTGCCATCTGCGTTGGAATCTTTTCGTGGAGATTCATCAACAGTGCAGCCCGTTGACGTTGTGTGAGACTCTCCTTAATGCCTCACGCAGCCGGAGGGGACTTTGTGCCTCCACAGCTGTAACTGAGGTTGGGCTGCTCTTCTGCCTCGATCGGTCCGTACGCATTCCCGGTTCTTCGCGTACAAACGTGTCGTGACATTATAGTGAGAAACCAAAGGGAGCGGAAAATGTGTGCATTTACCTCAGCCTAGGGTCCTCACCGTTTTCCTGCAGTGTCAGGTGGTCCTTTGGTTTCTGGACGGTGCCATGTCTGTCACAGCTGCTCACTTCTGCTGTGGTCGTGTGACAGCAGCCACAGGCAACATGTCCGTGAGTGGCTGTGGCTGTGTGCCGATAAAACTTTATTCACAAGGACCGGTAGAGGGCCAGTTTGGTCCACGGGCCTGCTGACGACCCCAAACTAAGTGGCTTTCTGCTTCGCTTTACCCAAATCATTGCAGTCTTCCTTTGATGACCTTCAGAACCGAAGCACAAAGTTATAGTATCCAGTACCTTTAGAAAACGTGAAGGATTGAGCCTAATTTATTTGGTGTTTTGTCTGTGAGTTGGGTTCCAGTGTTATTCGTGGTGCTGTTGCCACTCTGCCTTTCCGCAGACCTAAGTCACCTTGCACAGTAAGAACAGAAGAGCGTATGCGACACTTTTTGGAGTATTTTGACGTTTAGTCCTGAGTGTCCGCAGGCAGTGAGACCAGCAGAAGCACCTCAACTCCAAGATGCACACAACACAGTGACTCAGCGTTTCCGCTCCCTGTGATACGTGTGGTCACCGTGTCGGCGTTCGACGTCGGCACAGACTGTCCACTGTGATCCCTGCACTGCGCTTTGTGTCACCAGACTCAACCGGTTTTATACCCGGAAGTTTGTGCCACTCAGTCCCTGTCACCTGTTCTGTCCCTCCCGCCCACTTCCCCTCCGGTATCCACCAGTTTGGTCTCCATATTTGGGCCCCTTTCTGGTTTTTGTTTGTTCATTTGTTTTGCTTTTTCTAGATTCCATACATGAGTGAAAACATACACTATTTGTCCTTCTGTGACTTATTTCACTCTGCATAATGCCCCCAGGGTCCCTCCAGGTCATAGCTCGTGGCTGAGTAACATGCCATTGTGAATCTGTACCCCTCGTCTTCATCCAGTCATCCGCCCGTGGACACTTGGGCGGTTTCCGTGTCTTGCTTATGGTAAATAACGCTGCAGAAGACACGGGGGAGCTTATGTCTTTTTGAGTTAGTGTTTTCATTTTCTTCTGATAAATACCCAGAAGCAGAATTGCTGGGTCACAGGGTAGCTCTGTTTTTAGCTTTCTGAGGAACCTTCGTACTGTTTTCCAGAAGGGATGCACCATTTGCACTCCCCTCAACAGTGCAAGAAGGTTTCCCCTTTCCCCACCTCCTTCCCCACCCTTGTACTTGTCTTTTTGGTACCAGTCATTCTGACAGACGTGGAAGTGATGCATGATTTTGATTGTATTTGCCTGAGGATGAGTGACGTTGCGCATCTCCGCTCGTGTCTGTTGGCTGTCTGGATGTCTTTTCTGGAAAAGGTCTGTTGAGGTCCTCTGCCCGCTTTTTACTCAGATCGTTTGGATTTTTTTTTTTTTTTTTTGTCTTGAGTTGTAGGAGTTCTTTGTATATTTTGGAATTAACCCCTTATCAGATACGTGATTTGCAAATACCTTCTTCCCTTCAGTAGCTTCCCTTTTTGCTTTGTCGATGGTCTCTCCCACTGTGCAAAGCTTTTCAGTTTGAGTCGTCATTACTCACTTGTGCTCTTGTTTCTCCCATGTGAGGAGAGAGATGCAAAAAACATTGCTAAGGCCTGTGTCCAGGAGTCTGCTGGCTGTTGTTTAAGGAGTGTTATGGTTTTCCGTGTCACACTTAGATCTATAATCCATTTTGAGTGTGTTTTTGTGTGTGGTGTAAGAAAGTGGTCGGGTTCATTCTTCTGCCTGTGGCTTTCCCGTGTTCCCAGCACCACTTTTCTCCATTGCATCATCTTGCCTCGTTTGTCATAGATTCACGGACCGTATCAACAGGGGTTTATGTGTGGACTCTCTACTCTGTTAATGTGGTGAAGAGTTTGATTTTGTTTATGTTTTTGTAACAAACAGAATGGATTTCCAAGGGTAACAAACCCACTTAAACCAAGTGTTTAGAACTAGACAGCATTCACAGAGATGGACATTGTTCTGAGCTACTTTTTTATGAAAAATGATGAGTTTAAAATGCAAGGAGCAACGGGATGGTTCATATGTGCCTTTTCACATTTTGAATCGGTCCTCAGAAATGTTATCTTGTCACACACGATGAAAGACAAAACTTTAGAAAATCAAACATTGTACAGATATCTTTGCAAAATATAAAAGAACATTACTGGAAATGTTATTTTTGATGAAATTTTTGCATTTAATTTTTTGACTAGCCCTTTCTTGTACACCATGTAATACCTTTCGTGAATAGTCACGTGAGAGTCCAAGTGATAACATCATGTGGGATAGTTTTGTACAATCAAATGCCAGCACCGTCAGCGCAACAATCTGTACTCGCAGCCTGTTTTGTGCGTGGCAGTCGTCTACATGTTCATAGCTGTACATGAGCAAAACCTTAGGGCTCAGCTTCGTCTCTCTCATGTCTTCCTTGGCTGCAGGTAAATGCTGGTGAGAGCCTATCTCGTGTCCGCGGCTCTTCAGAGCGTGTTCCTGAAGATTACGTTTTCTGTGTGGAAGGAGTGGTCACTGACCAGTACCATGGTTTCTAGAAAAGATCTAATTAGGATCATTACACTGCCAGTCTTTTATAGGAGAAGCTTTCCTTTGTTTTTTACACAAAAATAGAACAAAAATTCGCTGGCACTTCTGCTTCTCCCCCTAGAGAAATAGCCGGTACTAGACTGCCCTGGCTGCCGTAAGCAGTGGTAAAGCTGCCGCAGATGAGCGAGGCAGTGGTTGCACGCCATGGGCCTCCCACAGTGAAAGGTCATCCTGAGAGCAGGACAACTTGGGAGCGGAGCCCGCTGTTACCGCTGTTTTGCCTGGAGAAAATGTTCAGACCGTGGCCCAGGGATCGAGATCTGAGTGAGACTGGCCATTCTGCGGCCTTGAAGAGGCGGAGATCTGGGTTCAGGCAGGAGAGGGGACTAGAGCTTTCCACAGATCCACACTGGCAAAGAATAACTCCAAGTCTGCTCAGTGTCAAGATGATCAACCGGTAATTGACCTGCTTGCTGAAATAACAATCACGAGGCTTTAAAGGAAGGTTATAGAATCCGGAGTCTCAACATGGCAGCCACGATGTCTGCTAGTCTGTAAACAGTCACCAGATATGAAGAGATACAGGAAATGCAATCTGTGGCCACAGAAAAAGCAGTCAGAATAAAACAAACATAAGATGGCCTCCGTCGTGCTCTTGGTTACCACTAAGACGTGTAGCTGGCCTCAATTGTATTTGCTGTAAATGTGAAATTTACACCAGATTTTGAAGAGTTAATAAAAAAATCACTGGAAGGTGTTTAATTTTTGCATTTATTATTTATTGAAATAATACTATTTTGAATATTTTGAGTTAAATGCATTCTTAAAGTTAATTGTATCTATTCATGGACTTTTCAATGTGGTTACTGTAAGGTTTAAAACTATGTTATAAGACTCGTATTTCGTAGGTGTTTGAAATAACAGAAGATGGGGTTTTTAAATCTGTGATTTTAAATATTCAATCAAATAAAAATAGGTTAAGAACTAAAGGAAAATATTGTGTTAATGTGTGAGCTGAGCAGAGAAAGGATATTTCACTCAGGTGAATTTCACTGGATTGGTATAACATCAGATTGGAGAAGAAGATGAAGGAGACTGTACACTTGGAGAGAGATGAAGAGAAATTAACAAACCGAAGAACAGGGAGACAATCAAACAAGGTGACAGAAGAACCTCAGTACCTGTGGTACAAGGTTAACCTACTTTTAACTGGAATCCAAGAATGAAAAGACAGTGAGGACAGGACAGAAAAGCTATTGGAAGATTTAAGAGTTAAGAACTTCTCCGATTGGTATAAAATGCCACCTAATAGATCCCAGAGGTTCAATGAATCCAAAGCAGGATAAGTATAAAAAGAGTCATAACTAAGTTCATAATAGTGTACTGAAATTGAAAGATTAAGATAAAATCTTGAAAGTAATCAGAGGAAAACATTATGTACAAGAGAACATCATATGAACAATGAATGACTGCTGTGAAGACACCATAGAAACCAGAAGGCAACAGAAGGACATATTTAAAATCCTAAAGGGAAAAAACAAAACAAAACTGTCAACTCCTATCCAGAGAAAATACCCTTAATCAACAAGGATGGAATGGAGACGTAATGAGATACATGAAAACTGAGAGAATATGGGGTCAGCAGAGATGCACGGCAAACAGGTTAATGGATGTCATTTAGGCTGTTGGGAAATGATACTAGACAAAAAATGTGATCTATAAAAATGAAAAAAGAGCACTGGAAACAGTAAGTAGTTGGGTAAATGTGGAATACTATGTTTTCCTATTGTAATTTGCTTTAAAACAGCAGTACATAAGACAAAGATGGGTACATGGAATTACACTTGCATGGTTATTACTTTTGGGAAGTAGGAAGCATAAAGTGAACAGTAGAAAATGAGTAGCGTCAGGTGTGTTATGAGTAGAGGTTCACAGAGAAAGTTTATAGTGTCAGATCTGAAGAGCAAATAGTTAGACTATTGACCCCATATGGGTCTGTTAATGATGCATACTGTTAGCCCTACATCAGTCACTAAAAAATAAGAAGTATAAGTAAGAACTTAATAGAAGACATAAAATGAAACATAAAAAATACAGTTAATTGAAGAAGGAACTAATGAATCACTGAACAGTACATCAAAAACTAATGATGTATTATATATTGGCTAATGGAACATAATAAAAAAAGAAGACAGGAAAAAATCATCAGATGGAAAAAATAGGAGAAATGAATGGAACACAAAGAGCAAAATGTTAGATTTAAGTCCACTTACATCAGTCATTACAATAATTGTAAACGGACCAAACACTGAATTAAAAGACTGAAATTATCAGACTGGATTAAAAAAAAAAAGAAAAGAAGATACATCCGTATGTCATCTGTAGGAGACACAGCCTACAGTTTTTAAGTAAACTCTTCCTCCAGTGTTCGGCTCGAACCACAACCCCACGGTGAAGAGTTGCATGCTCTACCAACTGAGCTAACCAGAACACGCTTAAATAAAAAAAGTAGTATAATTAAGAATATAAGCTTGAAAAAATATGCAGTGCAAACATTAAATGTAAAGCAAACAAGTATTTCTTAATATCAGACAAATAGTCAGCAAGACAAAGGTAGCACGAGATATAAAGAGGGACCTTGCACAATGGGAAGTGAACAATTCATCAGAAAGACACAATAATGAATATATACCCAAAAGAGCCATTATAATTTATAAGGGAGAAACTGGCATAATGAAAGGAAAATAGAAAAATCAAGAATAATAATTGGAGATTTAAAAAATACCTTCCTTAAATAATGAGTTGTCAGAACACCATCATCCGACCTGATGTAGCTGATATTCACAGAATATTATGCTCCACTGCTGTAGAACACACATTCATCGGTAATCCCGTTCTTGAGGAAATACTTTACATTCCACAAAACTAACCTGTTAGAAGTTGGTAACTCAAGGGTTTTTAATAATTGTGTGGATTATGCAGCCGTTGCCACAGTCTAGTTTTAGGACGTTTCCATCTCCCCAGAAGTTTCCTTGTGCCCATTTCCAATTAACTCCCATTCTCGCATTGAGCCATAAAGAGTCACTGGTCTATTTATATGCCTCCATAGATAGTCTGGACCTTTTATAAATAAAATTACGAAATACATACTTCTGCATCTTGCTTCTTCAGCATGATGTGTCCGAGCTCCTCCCTGTTGTCCCATCAGTTCATCCCTTCTTGTCGCCGAGTCGTGCCCTGTCAGGTGTGCCACCTTTGGGGTATCCACTCCTGGTTGGCAGATCTGGAGGTTGTTTCCAGTTTGGGGCCATCATGAGTAAGACTGCCGTCCACGTGTGTGTACCTGTGTCTGTGTACACGTATGTCCTTCCTCTGGAGCAGATTCCTGGGAGTTGAATTAATGAATCTTATGGTTAGTTGATGCTTAACTTTCAGGAAACTGCCAAATTGTTTCCGTATGGCTGCCACCGTTTTCCTTTCCCACTCGCAATAGGTGAGGTATCCAGTTCTCAACATCCTTACCAACACTTAGTATTGCCTGTATTTTTTATTGTAGCTGTTCCAGTGGATACAAGACGTCACCTCATTGTGGTTTTAATTTGCATTTTTGAATGGGCCTATTTGCTACTTTATATATTCATTGGTTAAGTGCCCACACGCTTTCCCATTTTTAAAATGAATGTGTCTGTCTTCTCACTAAGTAGGCGTCCTTTATATAATGTGACTACAAGTCCTTTGCCAGATACACAATTTGCAAATTATGTTTGCCTTCCCTTAATTGTGCCTGTTATCTGTAGAAAGATATTTATCTTATATCCTCTGAACTTGCTAAACATTTGTTAATTCAAGAATTCTTTAGTGTGTTCCTTGGGATTTCCTTCATAGAGGACCTTTTTATCTGTGACTAAAGACAGATCTAATATTTCCATTCCAATCGGGATGCCTTTAAGTTTGTCTTTTTGCTGTATTTCACTGGCTGGAGCTTTGCAGATAATGTTGAATAAAAGTGATAGGAGGAGTCATCCTTACCTAAGTCTTGATCCTAGGGGAAAGACGTTCAGTCTGAACGTTAAATACAGTGTTAGCTATGGGTTTTCACGGATGCCCTATTAGATTGAAGAAGTTCCTTTCTTTTTTCTTTTTTAAGATTTTATTTATTTATTTGACAGAGATCACAAGTAGGCAGAGACACAGGCAGAGAGAGAGAGGAGGAAGCAGGGTCCCTGCTGAGCAGAAAGCCCGATGCGAGGCTTGATCCCAGGACCCTGAGACCATGACCTGAGCCAAAGGCAGAGGCTTAACACACTGAGCCACCCAGGCACCCTGAGGAAGTTCCTTTCTATGCCTGCATTCTTGAGAGGTTTTATTATGAGTTAGTGTCAGATTTTGTGAAATACTTTTTCTGTGGCTTTCAGGGTTAACTTGAGGTTTTCCCCCTTTATTAATATGGTTTATAACATTAACTACCTTTTGAGTGTCAGCACTTGGCCCTGGTGTGCTCTGTCCATTTTACATGCTGTTTGATTTGGTTTGCGAACGCTGCTTGAGGATTTCTGTGTCTGTGTCACAGGGATATTTTTCTGTGGTTTTCTCATAAAAAACGTGTGGGGTGAGAATGAAAGACTGGCAGGAGAGAGGCGTGAGAGCACTTGGTGGGAGACGGTGAAATTTGGATGGCTACGTGGGTAAACGCGTTTCTCAAAAACCCCAAGTCCGAGGACTTGAACATCTTTCCCAACAAGAGACAGACGGCCAGTGACACAAGAAACAGTGCCCCGCATCACTGATTGTCAGGGAGATGCCGCAGTCAAAGCCATAGTGAGAGTCTACCTCACAGCCACGCCTACTGTCAAAAAACCCCAGAAAATTGCACGTGTTGGTGGGGAAATGGAGAAATTTGAACCTTTGTGCACCGTTGGTGGGAACGCAAAAAGGTGCTACGTCTGGTAAACAGGATGGCAGTTTCTCACAGAATTAAAAATGCAATTACTACATGACCCAGCAGCTCCACTTCTGGGTCTGTAGCCAAAAGGATTGACAGCAGGGCCTCGAACAGGTGAGTGTACACCCGTATTCGGAGGAGTGCTATGATGGGGAGGGCACGGGAGCCACCGCGACCACCCCCGGGGGAGGCGGAAGGGAAAGGGAGACAGAATATAACTCACCCTTAGGAAGGAAGGGGATTCTGCCCTGTGCCGTGGCAGAGTCCTGAGGATGTCCTGCGTCATGCTGAGAGCAAGCCCCCCCCCCCACACACACACTCTGGACGGTTCCGCGCGTACGCGTTACATAGAGTGGCCCACATCCTAGAGAGAGAAAGTAAGATGGTGGTGACCAGGGCCTGCAGGGAGGGGCGAGTGGAGGGTTATTGTTTGGTGGGGACAGAGTTTCGGAGTGGCAGGATGAAGAGGACCTTTTGCAGTAGGTGGTGGGGTCCGGCACAGATCAGGAGACTGTGTGATACGACCCATCTTCTTGCAGATGGTTAAGACAGTAAATCTTAGATTGTATTTTAGCACAATCAAAAAAACTAAAAGAAGTCTTGGGTCTGAATACAAACAAAAGTGTCGATTTTATTTTTCTGTAAATTATAATCCTGTTATTTTACAAGGCGGGATGGAGGGAGAGGGTTTGTCCGGCCCCCACTATGGCTGCTGTTTTTCTAACAAATTCCTAACGGACTTTCAGAAGTGGTCCAGATAGCACAGGTCGTGTCCCAGCGTTAACAAAGTGTGCGTGTGCATGTACTTCACAAATGCTGTTGTGTCGGGGACAAAAGAATCCTGTGCCGTGATGTGAGACAAATTTTTGTTTCTCTCGTGGTCTTTCATCCCTCCTGGCTTCGTACCTAAGTCCCCACGGAAGGACCCGGAGTTCACTCTTGCGCGGGTGTTCAGATAAGAAGTACAGCAACATTTAATTCTTGAAAACTTCTCTGCTGGGGAAGTCCTGTTAGATGAAAATAGTTCCATTAATTTTAATGGACAAAGTGACATGTTTTATCTCAGTCCAAGATGCATTTTTCACAGAGGAGAAGAATTAGTAAATAGTGAAAAAATTTTATTAGAAATGAACGTTAAATACATTTCGCTTGCTCATAATATGTAACATGATGATGTATTATCCTCACCGGAGCAGGAAGCAAGGTCTCGCACACGTAGGTTGGGGGAGGGAGATGGGAGTCCTTCTGACTTGCACACCGTCGTCTCCGCTGACATCTTCCTTTTTGAGGAAGCACGTGGTCGTCTGCATTCACACTGAATTTAAAAATGGATTATAGCTCGGAGACATGCCTCAGGTCACGACAAGGGGCCACAGACACACTGTGAAACACACGGAAGCTCTCCGCTCTCAGAGAAGGCTGCCCCGGCCTTCTCACTGGCTGCAGGCATTTGGTTTCTGCCCAGACTGTTGAGTGAGGCAGATCGTTGGTACGTCTTTGTTTGAGATGGTGACACCAGAACAAACCAGCGAAACCTGTGGCCTCTTCACTCGGGGTGCTCTGGACGGAGAGCTCGTGATTCTACAGAATCGTGTGATCTGAGACATGCTGGGGCTTCTCGAGAGGGTTCCCGGGGAAGGTGTTGGACGGTCGGCGCGTGTGGCGGGTCTGTGGGCGGCGTGGGCTCTGGGGCGTGTCTTCGCCGTGATGCGCAGAGCTCGTCTCTTTCACAGATACGTCGTCCGGCTCGGAAGACGAGGGCTCGGTGCAGGGGGACTCGCAGGGGACGCCCACCTCCAGCCAGGGAAGCATCAACATGGAGCACTGGATCAGCCAGGCCATCCACGGCTCCACCACCTCCACCACCTCGTCCTCCTCCACCCAGAGTGGGGGCAGTGGCGCCGCCCACCGGCTGGCTGATGTCATGGCCCAGACGCACATAGGTGAGTGCCTCCCTGTCCTTGCAGAGCAGTGGCCGTGCCCGGCGGTGTGAGTCTGTACGAGCCTCTTGGCCCCGGGATCCATTCGAGGGATGGCGGGGAGCCCAGCTCCGACTCCTGGGCCACTTGGCTGCTTTTGTGAAACCCTTGCTTTCGCTGTTTCTCACCATCCCCCGTGTCTCCGGGGCTTTCTGCTGCTAAGGGAACGCGTGCTCGTTCATTAGGGCACCCGGAGCCGTGTGTCCGCGTGTCCTCCCCTCACACTAATACATGCTTCAGCCTGGAGTCGTAGCAGTTTTCAGTGAGTCTGCTGCTACTTTGGGTGGCGTTTGGGGACGTGGGGGCTCTTGTCACTTCTGCTGCAGACAGCTCTCTGCCCGGGGTGTTGAGGCTCGGGGCGGGTCCAGGGGCCGTCCTGTGCGGGTTCTGTGCGGAGGAAGGTCCCGTCTGGCAGGACCGGCACACAGTTAGGAGGCACTGCCCGAGATGTTTGAAAGTCGTGTGCAAAGGAGATCAGGGAAGGCTTCCTGGCCTGGAAGAGAGCGCACTGGGTGAGCCATGCAGCTGTTGGAATCGTGGGCGAATTAGGACGGGTGTTTCTGTCCCCGCGGTGCCTGACGCTCCTTTTGCTGGGAAGTGGGGCAGGTGTGGCGTCCTGATCCCTGCTCCCCGTTTCAGCGATGGATTAAGACCTTCGAGCTTCCCAGTCAAGATCCCTCACACGCTGACGGACTTGCTTTGGGTGTGGTGCTGGGGTCCAGGGTGCTCCCATTCAAACCGCCCGTGGACCCCATCACCTCGTCCGCAGGCCACTCCCCTCACTGTGCCGTGGCTGACAGCAGGGCCCTCGCCACATTAGACCTCGTGTCTGCAGAAATCGCAAACTGACAGCAGGGAACGTTCGTGAATTGAGTGCCGGATGGAGATCTCAGACTCACGGGTGTTTGTTTCCAGATTTTTAGCCGCTTGCGAGAGCTCACAGAAATTCACACCACTTTTTAGGACTTCGCCCCAAGAGCACTCACTCCAAAGAAGTTGAAGTTAAATGCATCAGCTTTTAACTTTGCTGGTAAAAGAATCAGAGGTGCACTCTTTGGTCTCCTGCGGAAGCTGGTGTGGCCTCCGTCCCCACACGGGCCGCTGCTGGCACCCTCAGAAGCTACTTCCTCCTGCTCTGGTCTTTTAGTGGGAAAAAAAGGAACAATGATGTCTTTGCTTTGTACCTCTCAGAGCTGCGGTGAGGAAAAAGGAGGAAATGGGAAAATTCTTAGTGTTTGGACAGCGACAGCCCCTTGCCAAGTGGTGTTACCAGAGCTGAGTTCCACGCCCGTGGGTGACAGCAGCGCCAAGAGCCTCTGTGTGAAACCAGCGTCCGTTAAAAACGAGAGAGAGCTGCGTGACCGGGATGTGGGTTAGGCTTTGTGTTGCGTGTGTGTCCGAGCCCGCAGTGGCGCCTTTGGGGGTGGTTGGACTGGGGCCCTCCACCTCTGCCTCCCACGCCAGCCTTGGAAGCCTGTGCGCACTGACTCTGCTCACTTGTAAGGAAGTGTCAGAATCTTACCAGGAGAAACACATAATTTCAGATTAATCACTGCCTTCGGGTCTCCCTCTGTGATGTTTCTTGTGAAACGCTGGAGGAAATTATAGCTGGAGGATTAAATTTATCCAGACTATAAGAGATGGCGTGACTCACGGACCTCGCATCTCAAGGCAGCCTGAACAGAGTCTACGGCGTGTGACGCCACTGTCATTCCCAGTTGGGCACAAAGATAAGTTCCTAGAGTATCTAGACATTCTCCGTACGTAGGACAAGTCTTGAAAGAAAGCAGTGGCAGGATACAATAAAATCCTGAATAAGGAATGAGAATTCTGTGGCAAAGCAGAAGAAGAAGAAGAAGAAAGAAGAAAGAAGAAGAAAGCCAGAGGACCCTGTATTGTCGAAACCATATGACGTGTAGGGCACGAAGGTGTGTGTGCGCGTGCCTGTGTGTACACGTGTCCGCACGTGTGTGTGCATGCACGTGTGAAGGAATTTAGAGTGGAGCCACTGCGGCCCGTATCTCTCATCCCTGCCCACGAGGTGCTTGCCTAGAGTGGTGGGCGCTGCTTCTGCCTGACCCAGGGAGGGATCCCACGGTCACAGGGCCTGGAGGCCAGAAGACTCTGCAAACCCCAGGCTGCTGTGGGTTTTCACGGTGACGACACGCATGGGCCCCTCACGTGCAGCCCCTGGTCAGGCCAGCTCCGTGCTCAGTACCAAGCCCCCTTCCAGGAAGTCCTCCTTCCCGCAGCCCCGCTTGCCGTCGGTCCTCGCGTGGCATGTGACGTGGGGCCGCCACGACCTTCCTGTTCAGACACGCAGCAGAATGCGCCCCGTGCACCGTGGGCTCCCACACGTCAGGCAGGGGTGGAACCCTTCGCTGCGGGCCCTCGTTACAGTGACAGCCAGCGGGTTCCAGGTCGCTCCTAGGACGTATTTATTCAGAACCTTGTGTGCTAGCGGGCTCGCGACAACAGGGAGACAGAGGAGTAAGACATCCGCCGTCCCGTGTGGACACCAGAAGCCGAGGAGGACTGGCGGAGTGCTTCCGACCCCAGGAGGCGCGCTTGTGCGTCGGACACGTGGCAGAAGCAGCTCAGGCTGTCCCCAACTGAGGCGGAGCAGCGCAGAGCACAGGCGTGGTCCCTGGGGTTCGCGTCTGACTGCTTCATCCGGCGCACGGACCTCTGCAGGAGCCCAGTCACTACACACGCGCCCTGCCGGCCGACGCGTCCGAGGCGCCGTCACGGGGCTGTGGGCCCACGTGGGGCGCGTATCCTTCGCAGACATGCGTGGGGGGAGCTGCTGTCTCGGGGGCATTCAGGATTCACTGGTGGGATCGCCGTGTGCTGTCGTCGAGCCCGTCATGCTCAGGGTTCCTCTGGGCCCCTGAGGAACAGGTCAGAGGCCACCGCGCTCCCCACACGTTGCCCGGCGAGCCCAGAGCCTGCAGCTCGCATTCACGTCTAGAAGCTTCTCTACCGAGGCCTTTGTTCTGAGGCCTCGAATGGCCACCACGGTGATCAGTTACCCTTTCACTTATGTGCAGTCACCCAAAGTATCGAATTCTCTCACCGTCTCTATCGGTACTTTCCGAGCAGTTACGGTAAAGCCTGAGCTGCTCAGCGAGGACGGGGACGCTGGTGAATCGTGCACGCGGGGGCCTGGGTCGCCCGTGCAGCCTCACCCCGAGAGCTCCCCGGTGGCCGCACGTGCGGCGCGCCTTCCCGTCAGACGGCCGTGGACTAAATGACGTGGGCTGCATGGGCCCACGGTGTCCGCTGAGCTGGCCTGCTCTGCTCGCTGGGACGGGCATGGCAAGTGGGCAGGCATGTCTGTGTGGCAGAAAAGCTTTATTTACAAAAGCTGGTGTCAGGCCGCCCCATGCTGTGCCGTGGGCCACCCCCGGCTCCAGGGGCGCTACGCCAGGCTCCTGGTCGATGGGCAGGGACAGGCGGACGCAGAGCCCACCACACCGGCCAGCATGGACACTCCGCTATGGGTTACGGAATTCTCAGGTCTCCTCTGGTGACATGGTAGGGGGAGCCTGGCTTGGAAGCAGGACCCGCAGCGCCACCCCGACGGGGGACCCTTAGCTCCTCACGCAAGCCTGTCCTGTGTTGTCACATAATTTGGGCAGAAAGCTGGCATCTGTAGAAATGCTGGGGGACGGGGGGCGACCGTCACCGCCCTTCTGTCTGTCTGTTCGGGGAGCGTTCTCCAGCCGTGGACGCCGCTCCAGCGCACACATCACCCTGGCTCTCGCTGTGTCTTCTGTTTCCTTCCCTGGAGAGCGGAGCTCGCTCCTCTGAGGCTCATCCTTTCCTCTGATGCTGGGTCCCGGGAGGCCGGCTTAGAGGCCCCGACTGCTCACGGCCGCCTCCCCTGGCCCGCACCACGTGCCTGCCTCCCCCAGTGGCTCCTGTCTCCCCACGTTCTTGCTGACTCCACGCACCCCACAGCTTTCACGGCTACCTGCTCCTCACCGACAAGCGGATCTGCGTTTCCCACCGTGAAATCCCTTGCAGCCCCCACTGCAGACCGCCTCCCGACACGGCACACGGGTCCCCCGTGCCCGAAAGCAGCCTGCTGGAGAGGCCGTCCTCCCCACAGCAGGCTTGCGACCTGGGCTCTGCAGCAGCTTGTGCCCACGCCCCACGTGTGTCACGTCCTTGTGTTCGGTGGCTGCACATGCCAAGCCTCGTCCATGTCTGTGACTGCTCCCAGCCCCGTCTCCCGTCAGGATAGTTTCGGCCCCTTGTGACCTCCCACCCTTGCCTTCCGTGCGGTTCCAAGCCCTGCTGCTTCTTCAGTCGTTTTGGGACACAGAACTGCTCCTGTCCCTTCCCAGAAATGCCGTGACTTTGGATTTTATGCTCAGAATCAAAGTAATGGGTTTTAGGTCCGGAAGCATCTTGTTGGCTCATGCATGGGACACCCCGTGCCAGGGCAGGATCTGGCTGGCTGGCGCAGTCACGCCTGCTGCACACGGGAGACGCACCTGCTCAGGTCTGCCGTTTGCGCAACAACAGTGCGTTGGACTCAGAAAGGCGTCCCAGAGCCATTTGCACCTGACGCCTGTGAGTGTCACACGTTCTCTCTTGGAGCTTCCCAGAGGCCCACGTACAGGCAGAAGAGGCAGAGCGCGGCCTCCAGGCCTGGGTGACACGCCCGAGGGCATGGACATCCTAGCCGGGGGTCAGGGCGCCCTGTCATGTGGTCCCCTTGGCCCGGCGAGAACCCAGCACCCCTTGTTCCACGGAGGGGAGACTGAGGCCCAGGAACGTGGGCATGAAGCCACAGGTGCCCAGCGGGCCCGTGGTCAGCAGGACCCCACAGACCTGGGGGTGCAGGAGCCCCCGCTTGTCACGGGAGGGAACACCTTTCCAGACGAAAGCTCAGTTGACTTGGCATTAACCGTGAAGCCTCCCATGTCCCCAGCACACCCCACAGGGTCCGTGGTCTGTGGAGGCTCTGGGACAGCTGCAGCCTGTCGTCCGGAGTTTCAGTCTGTGGCTATAAAAGTCAAGAAACTCTCGTGCGAAGCTGAAGGTTGCTGTTCTGATATCCGCGTGTGGGCCCGTGTTGCCAGTGCTGTCCTGGCCTCGGGATCCCATGGTACCCGTGTGCAAGGGCGGAGAAGCTGGCGGTCCTCCTGAAGTCAGCCCCGACTCAGGACCTGGGCCGGAGACATGTGGGTGCAGAGACCACCCAGCCCTCCACCCACCTCCAGCCGCGGTCTGCGGACAGTCCTCCTGAGCCGTGGGAGACGCCAGCAGCGACAGGTTAGGCTGGTGGCGGGAGGGATGCAGGGCGGGTCCCCCGTCCTGATCAGCCGTGCGGGGGTAGACCCAGGCAGGGAGCGGCCCGGCCAAGCCCCCGCCGAGTGGGTACTCTGCCCCTCCAAGGCCAGCTCCTTCCCTCCACAAGGTCAGGCCCTGCACGACCTCATCGGGACACCTGCTTTCCACCCCGACGTGGAAGGCTGCGAGCCAGAGCAGCGGGGTGCACGGGGCGGTCTGAGGTACGACAGCCCATTTCTTGCTTCCCTGTCCGTGGTCACGGAGGTGAGGGTGACCGTGGGGCCCTCGGGCTGGGGCCATCCTGCATGAGTGATGCTTGGGCTCCTCCGAGTGCATCGCTTGGGACCCACAGCAGTCCTCGGGCCACGAGCACGTGCTTGCTACGGGCAGAAGCCGGATTTCCTAATTTCCTCCTGTTCTCTCAGAAGTTATTTGGGGACTGAGAAGTAATTAACACAGCTCGAAAGTGAGGTCTCTCCCCACTTGCCCCGGGCATCCCTGTCACGCCGGCAGAAGCAGAGCTGCTTGTCAGCCGGGGCTGGGAGCGGAGGCCCTTTGGCTTTGTCACGCGTTCCTTTCTTTACTCCCTGTTCGCTCACCGTTCAGACCATTTCTCCAACGTTGGCTGAGCGCCAAGGCTGTGCACTGGCGTGGTGTCACGTCAGTGTCTGCGTAGGACCTGAGGAGCCACACGGGGCTGGGGATGTAGGCCAGGAACTGGGGGTTTCCAGGTTCAGCCGGGGACCAGCCTGCCCCCTGAGATGGTCTTGGCCAGAAACAGCTGTCCAGGTGCCATGGAAACCAGTGCACAGCTGGCCAGAACGCCCAGAGGCATCTGGGGAGTGAGAGGGACCCCAGTACCGGGTCATGAGGACGGCCAAACCGCATCCCTGCCACCCCTCCCCCCTGGCCTGCACCAGCTTGAATTACAAGCCTCTGGAGGGACCATCAGCTGCTGGGAACAAAGTCCTATAGCGTTGATGACGCAGGCCCCACCTGGCGGTTCTCAGCAGAGGAGGTGACCCTTGACAGGTGGCTGGAAGGGGGCCCCCGTTTTTTTCCTTGATCTTGAAAGGACTGGGAAATGGACACAAGAACCAGTGCACTCACTCGCTTGGAAGATACAGACCCGCCCTGAGGATCTCAAGGTGTTCCCGCCGCACAGGGCCCTCCGTGGCTGCACCGGGAGCTGATGGGCAGGTGCTCCTGCTGCATGGGGCCATTCGTGGCTGTGCCGGGAGCCGATGGGCGTTTCGGCCCTTTGAGCTGCGCCTCCAGCCGGAGTCCACTGTTCTTGTCTGTCAGCATCTCGAGTGTCTGTTACTCATGTGGTGTCTCGATCTTCATCAGAGCAGGGCACAGTGTGTTTCGCAGCAGCGTGGCCTCTGATGCCCCAGCAGGCCGGCAGTGAGGGGAGCGACCCACACGGAGGAGAAGGTGGTACACAGACGAATGTGGACAACGCTCTGCAGTCCCCCAGCTGCGCTATTCCTATTTTCCTGTCGCCAGATGGGTCAGAATCATTCTTTCCCCACGTCGGAGAGGAGACCCCACAGCGCTCCCAGCACAAAGCCCGATGGGCCGTCACCCATGACGCAGCCGCAGCGTAACTGGCTCACGAGTCGGTCTGAATCAAAGCATGACGCGCTGAGCTCCCGTTCCCGCCGCCTCGCTGAGGTGGCCGGCGGGGGTCTCGCTCGTGATGCATCTCCGACTGCGGCGTCCTCACAGGAAGTAGGAGACCCCAGCAAGTCCCCGTGTAGCCGCAGAGAAGCAGATCGCGTTTTCCGGTGCAGGGAAGCGCGTTGGCAGAAGCACGTGGGGCTGGTGAAGGGGTGGACGCTGAGTCCCAACGTGGACGAGAACCCCTGCTGCGTGTCCCTCCGTGGCCGGACAGAGCGGCCTCCCTCGCCCCTCTCAGAGGTGATCCTTTCTGGGCTAAGATGTAGGAAATTGCCCTTAGGGGTGAGTCTGCTCAAGCTGCTGTCACGGAGCGGCCCCGCTGGGGTTCCAACAGCAGAGATTCTCGTCCCACCTCCTGGGGGCCGGGACCCCCAGCTGCACACGTGGGCAGGGCCGGTGTCTCCAGAGGCCTCTATCCTGGGGCGCAGACGCCATCCCCTCCCCGGGTCCTCACGTGATCGTCTCTCTGTATGTTTCCATACCCCGATCTCCTTAGGGGGACCCTCATTACGTCCACTTAGGGTCGCCCTAGTGACCTCTGTGGAGACCTGTCTGAGGTCATAGGCATGAGTACTTGCATGTGTGACCTGTGAGGGGACACAGCATGGTTCCCACCAGGACGGATCCTCTTGGCAAAGGGGGACAAGATGGCTGAGGGCCTGTGGCTGTGGCTCTGGGGCTTTGGGGCACCTCATAGAGACCCCATGGGAAACCCCACATGGAGACACCACGGGCCTCGCTCACACCGTGCTGCGGCTGCGGCCTGTCCTCTCGCGACTGTGTCTGTGCCCAGCAGTCCCGTCGCACATTGGCCGCCTCGCGGTCAGGGCTGGGCTCACGACGTGCATCTCGCAGAACAGGAAGCGGAAGCACAGACAGGTGAGTGATGGGCCGCAGGGGGTCAGTTACGAGCCCGGGGCCAGGCACCACGCAGGGGACGCTGGCCACCCCAGCCCCGTGCACGTGTCCGTGTGCAGGCACGCCGGGGTGTGTGTGACGCAGGACGGACACGCACGTAAACACGTACGTTACGTGGTCACTCGGAATCTTGTGCACCAGAACTGCCGACGTTGCTTGAATGCTTACCTTCCGTCACCCAACCTCGTGAGAGCCTTCTGTACGTTTAATTCACTTCCCAGGCCCTGCAGGGGACTGACCGTGGTAGTCCCTCATGGGGAGGACAGTGAGGCACAAGGGGCTAAGACGCTCCCCACGACCTGGGGGCACACGCAGAGCTGGGGGGAGACCCCAGAATCTGCCTGTGAGGCTTGAGTTCTCCGCTGCCTCTGCTGTACCTTCACGTTGGGAGGGGAGCCGACCGTGGTCCGTGTTGAGCAACGTAGATGACCTTAGAGATGACCCTCGTGCCCAGACTTGCTGCGGACAAGGACGCAGACCCGGCCTTTCCCTGGGACGCGGCAGTTGGTGAAACCCCGTGAGTCGCTCAGTCGTGACGATCAGAAAACCTGTGATTTGCTTCTTTCTAGAGAATCACTCTGCACCTCCTGACGTGACGACTTACACCTCAGAACATCCGATCCAAGTGGAAAGGCCGCAGGGCTCCACGACGTCGCGGACGGCGCCCAAGTATGGCAACGCGGAGCTCATGGAGACAGGCGACGGTAGGTCCCCCGGCGGGCACGGTGCCTCCTTCATAACCCCGTTCCTGCCCCTGGCCATCTGCGTGCAGCGGACTCTGACCTGTGTCCTGGCTCCCACGGAGGGTGGCAGGGCGCGAGCGGCGCACAGTGTCCCCACATTAGCAGAGAGCGTGTCTACGTCGGGAGAAACACCGGCGTGCTGTGGAGGAAGTTCAGTCTTGGGCGGGAGCAGGCGTTCTGTAGGTTCTGACGTGCCGATCGATCACCGATGTTGGCTCAGTTCAGAAGCGCCCTGGAGGCCTTAAGCCCGAGAGTGGTTGTTAGATGGGCAGTGAGAAGTTGAATGTAGAACTGAGTAGTCGGCACGTACGGCCGGTGTGGTTTCCGTGGGCTGCGGAAGGAGGTGGGCTTTTTCCTCCAAATTGGAGAGAATGAGCAGCGGTGATGATGCCCGGCAGTGGGGCTGCACGCCGTCCCCCCGCCCTCGGTGCAGCCACGGAGCGGACTGGAACGTGGGCCTCACGCTGTGTCCTGCTCTTATGAGCGCAGCCCCTCCCAGGACAGGGTGGAGGGGACAGGAGGTGCGATTTCTGTGGAGATGGCCCGCGTGGCCATGCTGTGCGTGTGCTGTCCCTCCCTCGGGGCGCATATCCCCGTCGCGGTCCCCGAGCCGCACCGGCTTCCGGTGTGACTGCTCCCCCGGAAGACGCATGGTGTCCGTGTCTCGAAGCCGCTCCCCAGACCGAGGTGGGCCTGCGGAGGACGCACACGTTTGCCCCAGCGGTGTCAGCACCGTGGTGGTCACGGATTCCCGTTTTTAGAAAAGTTAAACTTCATGCCTTCTTCAACAGTCATTTCGCTGACTCGGTTCTCAGAATGGTGTCGTTCGTTGTTACAAAGCAGAGCTGTGTTATCAAACGGGATTCACTCTTCCCTGTGCACAGGGAGAGATGCTAGAGGCTCGTATCCTGTGTTCTGCAAGAAACCAGATTCCCAGTGCATTTTTAGCTGTGCTCCAGGATGCCTAATGTGCCCTCGGTGGGCGGGACTAAGGACACGGAGGAGGGCCACTGTGCACCCGTGAGAGGAGAAGGCAGGCCCGCCACGGACCTCCGGTGCCCGCGCTTACGTCAGGAAGCACAGGGATAGCACCTGACGGGTCGGCTGTCCCCCTGGATTTGGCACGTCCGCCAGACCGCTCTGGCCCCGCAGGGGAGCACCAGGAGTCTCCGTGCTCAGGGCTTCAGGGAGGGTCTCCCTGCTGTGTCGGCTCTCTGACCCCGTTGGAGCGAGGACCGGAGTCTGTGAAGGGGGGGACAAACTTGTTTCAGGAATGGCCGGTGGGACCCGGCCCGGCCTGGGGTCTGACAGAGACGGTGGCCGTGGAGCGTTGTTCCTTGGGCCTCTGCCCCACCGGGGCCTGCTGTCCTCCCGGGGACGGGCTCTCACCGTGCGGAGTGTCCTGGGGGCACTCAAGACAGGGCCCCGGTCGCAGCGTCACGGCCGCTGACCATTCCCTCCCTTCTTCTGTCTGTGCTTCCGTCTTCCAGGGGTGCCTGTAAGCAGTCGGGTGTCGGCGAAAATCCAGCAGCTCGTCAACACCCTCAAGCGACCGAAGCGGCCGCCGTTACGCGAGTTCTTCGTGGATGACTTTGAGGAACTGCTGGAAGGTGACCCACCACCCCGTGTCCGCGCCGCCCCCAGACCGTTGTGCCGGGCCCTGTTGAGACGAGCAGTGCCGGCCTTCCCCAGTGGACAGCACTCTTCTCCGGAGTGTGCCCTGTCCCCCTTTGCAGACAGGCCGAGAGCAGGCAGGCTGGGTAGCCGCTTGCGCAGGCACGTGGAGTCCTTCATGGGGGGATTTCGTCCCGGGAGCCGGGACCCCCATCCAGAAGCACAGCGGGCTGCGGCCCACGGTGACGTGCTCCGTCTGAGGAACGCGGAGCGAGTGTGTGCGCGTGAGGCCGGCCCTTTTCCTAGCCTCAGTGCACGAGCCTTTGCGCTCAAGGTCAAAGCAGCGCCGGGCGTATCACGTCCAACCCAAAACCATTGTCTCCTCGTTCCTTGTACCACACGCAAGACACGGCCGACTGTCTGGCCAGCAGGTGGATTGTGAGTCGCGACTGTGAGGGAGAGAACTCTCCTCCGGGAGCTCACCTCAGCGAAACAGTCTGGAAGATTGTAGTAGTGCCCCACCGCACTTGTCTGTGTTCGACTCGCGGCAACGAGCTCTGTGGTAATGGTTCAGAGTACAGGTGACAAATTCACACGGACGAGTCTGTGCTCAAGGGCACTGGGGCTTAGCAGGCTGTGAGCTCTGGAGTCCAGAATCAGGATATTGTAGACAGAGCCGTTGCTGTCCCCAACTCGGGCATGTTCAATACCCAGGGCACGCGTTCCCTGACATGTGCTCCAGGCGTCCCTCTGTGCACCGTCCCAACATTGTCCTGGAGAGCGTGAGCATTCCAGGCCTCCTCTCTGTCCCCGAGGCCAATCTGTGGGTCCTGCCTCTGATTCTAGAAAAGCATGCATGCGTGCTTTCTGTCCGCTCGTAACCTTGAGTAAGGGTCCCGCTCTCCTTAAAAAGTTGACGGTGTTCGCACCGATAAGGTGTACTTTTCTTGAAAACTTTTTATGTTTGAATGCTTGTAGTTCAACAACCAGATCCGAACCAGCCCAAGCCGGAGGGAGCACAGATGCTGGCCATGCGCGGGGAGCAGCTGGGAGTAGTCACCAACTGGCCCCCGTCCCTGGAAGCCGCGTTGCAGCGCTGGGGGACCATCTCCCCGAAGGCCCCCTGCCTGACCACGATGGACACGAATGGGAAGCCGCTGTACATCCTCACTTACGGTAATTCTCTGTGCTCCCTTCACTGTCCCCCGCGCTCAGCGGCCACTTCCAGGCAGGCTAACGCCTCGCACCGCCCTCCGTGTCCGGCATTCACCCCCACGGGACCCTGGAAGGAAATGCTTTAGGAACATATTTAGTTTGATACAAAAAGTTATTACTTGCTAAGTGATTCCTTAGTAGAAGCCAGAGATGGGTGCAAGGAACCAGTGGGTCACAACCCAGACGGGACATGGGATTTCACATCTTAGAATGTGTCTGACATTCTCGAAAGTCGTGCCTCCAGGAACGACGGCAGTTTAAGAATTTGTGTCCAAACTCTGTGACCTGGATCCCTCAGGAAACACTATCTCTTTCCAAAGAGATCACGCGAGGAAGCAAGAGAAACAGGCTTCTCTCCAGGTCTTCCGTCGGTACAGTTTCTGGAGCCGGTCTGCTCTCGGACGTACTTGGCTGTCCCGGGACGAGGTCCTCCTCATTGTCCGCTGGGTCAGGGGCTGTGGAGGAAGCTCACTGTCGGCCAGTTTGCACAGAAGCTGGGTGATTGGACGACCCCTCCAGCTCCTGCTGATTCTGCTGATTCTGATTTCCTTTCCTGATTCCAGGGACTCGGGATAACTTGAAGACTTAACAGGGACTAGTGCTCTGTCTAGTTTAATGTGCACGTTGATACGTAACAGATTGCACGTTTCCCTTACTAGTGTCCTTGTCGTTTCTGTTCACAGGCAAACTGTGGACAAGAAGTATGAAGGTTGCTTACAACATTCTGCATAAATTAGGTACCAAGCAAGAGCCGATGGTGCGACCTGGTGACCGGGTGAGTGAGTGCTCTTTATGGGGCCGCACCAGCGAAGTCACTGCTGTTGGAAGTCCAAGTTCGGTGTCTCCTCGTGCTAACCCTACTAAGTCAGGCTTTGTTACCTGAACTGTGGATTAGGATTAATTGCACGAGATGTCGTTAGCCTTCCAACAACTGCACGAGCGCAGCTGGCGTCCTTCTCGTGTTTTGTCTGTGAGGACACTCGGACCAGCGGGGTGAAGTGTCACTTCAGAAGAGGCAGGTAACTCAGAAGTGGCTCGGCCAGCACTCACGTCCACGGCTGTCCGAGCCCAGAGCCTGGACTCCAGCCACCGTCCTGTTGTCACCTAGTGTCCTCTATCTGGGCAGCCAGACAGGATCGTAGAACTTGGCCTGTGCTTGCCAGTGAGCCGGATCATCGCGGCAGCACGCCGCCGGTCCCAGTACTGTCCCAGTGTTGGATTCTGGGCCAGGGGCTGCCGTCCCTCACTGAGCAGCCGGGTCCCAATCCTCCTTGGTGAGCCCCAGGGTGGATGTTCGGGTTTCTGTGGCAGCGCTATACCCCGTGCACTTCAGACCCTTGCCCAGCTTCGCACCCCAGCATGGGCGTGCGGCTGCACTCAGAGCCACGGGGTCTTGCTTTTGCACGTTGTACCTTTTCCCCATTGCTGCTTTGTACCTTCAGCCCCAACTCCGACGTACCCTCCCTGTCCCTAAAGACCTCTCGTTGATTTCATCAACGTGCCGGCGCCAAGCACCAAACCGCCAAGGACACGAGCTGCCGTTGACTCGAATTACGCAAAGAACGGGGCCCATGAGGAGGAATTTTTTAAAGATCGTCACAGCCTTGTCTTGATGTTTTTTATTGACCAAGTTTGACCTCCGGCTTTTCGATGTCAGTTATAGGTCTCGCACATCCTGAGAGTCAACCTTGCCACAAAGCTACAGTCCTCGTCACGGAGCAGTACTGACGGCAACATAGACGTGTGGATGGAGTAGAGCCTGGCGGGGGGATGGTTTCCGTGAAGGGAGCTAGGACATGAAATGGGGGGAGGACGGTGTCTTCCACAAATGGTGCTGGACGGGGCACCCACAGCAGAAGGAGGACACTGAACCTTCTTACTGCGGAGTAAAAAGTTAACTCACGGTAGATCAGACACTTAAGGGCAAAGACTGTGCAACTCGGAGAATAAAACCGGGGAAAGCGTCACAGAATCTGGCAGTGATTTCTTAGACGACACCGAAAACACAGGCAACAAAAACAAAAACGTGAATTGGATTTCATCAGAATGACTCCCGTGTGCCCCAGAGGCTACCGAGAGCTGGAGGCAGCGTACAGGACGGGAGAGAACGCTTCTACAAACCCTGGATCTGTTACATCCAGAATCTGGAAATGAGACTCTCACAATTCAGCAACAACCAAAAAAACAGAAGAGGCGAAACAACGGACAGGGGACTTGAAGGGGCCGGTCCGCCCCTGGGAAGATGGTCCACGTCCCTGCTCATTCGGGGACAGTGCGTTAAAGCCCCAGTGATGCAGCACGTCCCTTACGGAGGCAAGAATGAAGACACGTCCGTGCTGCCAGTAGGAAGGTCCCCTGTGCAGCCACCAGGAAGCAGTATGTGGTGCCCTTGGAAACGAAGCACGGCACACTACCCCGTGACCCAGCAACGGGCCTTCCTTCCAGAAGAACCGGAAGCGGGGGCTTGAGCAACGTTTCTGCACCAGTGCTCAGAGCAGCCTTGTTCGCAGAACCAGAGGGGAAGGAGCTCAGGTGTCCGCAGACGGACGAACGGAGAAGCGCAGTGCGGTGCCCTCACAGAGTATCACGCACTTAAAAAGAAGATGAAATCTGGCCCACGCTGAACCTCGGACGGCCCTTGAGGGTTTTACGCTGCATGAAATGGGGCAGCCACAAAGGACCGGTGTAGGAGGCGCTTAGGGCAGTGAACTTCCCTGAGACAGAAGCACGGTGGGGGCCCTGGAGGGGCTGGGGAAGTGGTTGGGGGCTGGGGACTGGGAGGGGAGGGGCTGGGGGAGGGTTGGGGGAGGGCCGGGGAGCTGGAGGCTTCAGTTGAGGAAGAGAGTTCTGGAGCTGGTTCTGGAAGGTGAGGGCTGCAGGGCAGGGCGAGTGTCCTTAATGGCCCCAAGGTGCGCACTTGGAAATAGCCGAGAGGGTCTGCTTTTGTACGTTCACGACAACAGCAACCCTTTGTGATGCGATGGCTTCCTTCGCGCTGATCTGGGGGACGGTCTTAGTCCCGCCTGCAGTGAGTGCCCAAGGTCCTGGGCAGCTCCAGACCTTGAGGTTCCTGACAGTAACAAGGACAAAGTAAAGCCCCCTGTTCAGCTAAGGTGGTAGGAGGAGTCTGGGGGACAGTTTTGGTAGAATAAACTGGATAAGGAGGTTTTCTGGCAAAAGCCGACCAGAACGGTGTGAGGGAACTACTTTTCTAAGTCATCCTGGAGTCGTTCGTGCCGTCAGCATCTGGCACAGGCGTGTAGGCACCTGGACTGGGTACACGTGACCCCAGCCGTCGACCGATCATGCCCTCCTGTTGCAGTAAACAGAGTTTTTACTCTCGTTCAAAATGACTTTTGAATAAAACATTATTTTCCCCAGAATAATGAACATATTCAGTCTTTTACATAAAAACTTGCAGATATTTTTCACGTGGGTGACCTTATTGACGCAGGTTGGGGAATTACCTTTAAAGGAAATGCCTTTAAAACACATTTGTGTGCCTAAGCTGAACGGGGTTTGGGGAGGTGTGGAGGGTGCTCGGAAGACCCCAGGATGCGACCCCCGTGAGGCCGGCCTGCAGGAAGCTTGCCGTACCGGAAAGGATACAGACACATTAGGATCATCCGCTTTTCTAGACGTTGGAAAGTGATCAGGTCCTCAGAACAGGTGGTGAGAGCTGGAGATGGACTGTCCGGGCGGGGGACAGAGTGAGCTTTCTCCTTTGGGGGGAGCATCTGCGACCCCCGAAGTCTTCCCGGAGCGCAGAGCAAGCCCTGGGCTGTCGGCCAGGTAGCAGGCAAGCGTGGGAGAGAGCCAAGGCGGGAAAGCCATGTGGGGCCCAAAAGCTGGACAAAGCAGTGTCCTCGGAACCCCCCCTGTGAGGAGAGCCGAGCGCGGGCCCAGCAAGAGGAGTCGCTTTTAGGAGCCGAGACCTCAGCAGACGCGGGGCTGTGCCTCTGCCCCTTGACTCGCGGTACGGCCTGCACTGCGGGTCCTGAGGTCCGGCGGCATCTGGAGCACGGGGTGTGGTCGTGAGGGGGCTGCGTGCCTCTGTCAGAGCGTGCCGCCTGCCCGCGGGCCCAGGAGTCCCTGCCGAGCCACCAGAAGACAAGCGTGTGCCGCGTTCAGACGCGGAAGGAGGGCGTCCCTCCCTCAAACTGCAAAACAGAACAACGAAAGTTTTTCCGGTTTTTTTTTTTTTTTTTTCAGTCTTTCCCGTTTTCATTCTAGTCTCCAGGTGTTTGACCCCATCCCTCCGCTGCTTTGATGCTGTTGAGAGACAGACCATCGGACCATTCTGTGTTCTGCTTTCATCGACTTTACACTGGCACAAAACGCTTCACCCTCCTTAGCACAGCTCTGCAAGGTTCCTCTGACGTAGCCTCGTTGGCAGGGGCCGCGGTGACTCGGCTGTGGGGACGGGAAGGCCCAGGTCAGGTGGGTCTTCGTCTGAGCGGAGCTGGGCTGCAGCCGGCCCCGGGAGCACGACCGGCCTGGTCCGGCGGCGTCCCCGTGTTGCTCTCGGTGCTCCGCCCTGGGGAGGACGCTGCGCCGCGGACAGGTGCTCCAGGAAGTCCACGGTTACCGGGTCCCTTGTGCGCAGGGTGACCGTCTGCTTCGGAGGGCAGCTCGGCGGCGTCTGCGGAAGCCTCGCAAGCGCTCAGTCAGCGAACACTGAGCTTGGCCGGACCCTGGTCTAAAAGCTGGTGTTGTCACCTCCGCGCGTCAGCTAAAGGCACAATACCTGAGTCTGTGACAAACCTCCAGGACCTGCCGGAGGTCCAGCTGGTGGCCTCCTCTCCTCGGGCCGGGATGGGATGAGTCACTTAGCCGGTTTTCCCAGACACGGTTCTTCAGTACTGCGGGACGGCTCTTCCTGGCCTTCCAGGGGTTTGGTCCCTCGGTTCTCCAATTTTGACCAGCTGCAGGAGTGCTGTCTAGAGAGGACACCTTCACTTAGTCTCAGTCTTGTTTCATTTCCCACCGGCTGTCCTGCTGGCCGACATTGAAGACGTGGCCTGCTTGGTACCCAGCCACGGTCTGAATCCCTCTGTGCCAATTCGCTTATTTAAATATGGAGACAGAGCCTCTACCCAGCTGCTCACAGCAGAACTCACGACTTGTAGGTACGACAATATTCGAGAAGAAACTGCTTAAGCTTCTGAGTGAGGTCACACAGGACTGACGTGTGCACGTTAAGTCCCGGGACCGGAGAGCGTCAGAGCACGCAGCCAGCAGCTGTCCACAGGGAGGGACAGGAGCATGGACGCGGGGCCGGTGGGCGGGAGAGATGCGCAGGGCCGGGAGCGGGTCCCGCAGAGCAGATTGTTGCGTGCGGTCATAGCACAGCTCCACTCTGTCCCTAGGACGCGTTCCCAGCGACCCAAAGGGAAAGGCTGGTCCCAGAGGAGCCGCAAGGACAGGACAGCCAGCGGGTCCGCGGTGGGTGAGCCGCACGGCAGACTCTAGAATGAGCTCCATGTACACTGTCGGACCACGTGTTTGTGGAGCAGCAGGTGCCACATAAAGGGGCATTTGACGGGCGCCTGGGTGGCTCAGTGGGTTAAGCTGCTGCCTTCGGCTCAGGTCATGATCTCAGGGTCCTGGGATCGAGTCCCGCATCGGGCTCTCTGCTCAGCAAGGAGCCTGCTTCCCTCTCTCTCTCTCTCTCTCTCTCTGCCTGCCTCTCCATCTACTTGTGATCTCTCTGTCAAATAAATAAATAAAATCTTTAAAAAAAAAAAAAAAGGGGGCATTTGACAGTGGAGCCTAATGGGAATAAAACAGAAGTGACATCAAGTTAACACTGTCAGATTTCTAATTCTTCGGGGCGGGCAGCAGGTGTCCGCGAAGCCACCTCCGTGCCCACGTGCAGGGGCCCGACCGCCGGGCTGGTTCCCGTTCACGGCTGCGGGCCATGCGCCTGCGCCTCCTGCCTTCGCAGGCGACCCTCCTCACGACACTAGGACACAGGGGTAAAACGAAGGCCCAGAGGGGTGAAAGCTGGCCTGGGACCAGAGCAGAGCCCCGTGGGTGTCCGCCCGCCCTCGTGACAGGGCGCCAGGGCACAGCGGCGAAGGCCGCCGGGCGCACGCGAAGCCCCTGCGGAGCCCGGGGGAGCGGGAGGAGCAGGGCGGGCGCAGACGACGCTGGCGGCGGGCGGGCTTCCAGCCACCGGCAGTCGGTCGCGCGTGTCCGCGTCTGTCAGAGGAGGCGCGCACGCCCTGCGCGTTACCGACGTGCGCGTGACCGCGGTGTCTTCCCGCGCGCGCCCGAGGTCGTCGCCGAGCGCGTGGGCCCCGCGGCCGTGGGGCTGCGTCCCTGTTTGGTGTCTGGGAGCCGGCGGCGCGCGCAGGCTGGTTAACGGCTCCCGCTCTGTGTCCGTGCAGGTGGCGCTGGTGTTTCCCAACAACGACCCCGCTGCCTCCATGGTGGCCTTCTACGGCTGCCTGCTGGCCGAAGTGGTCCCCGTGCCCATCGAAGTGCCGCTCACGAGGAAGGTACGTCCCCGCCGGCGCCGCCCCGGGGGGTTGGCTCGGCCGCCCGCAGCGGTCTCCCGTGACGTCAGAGCGCACAGGTGGCTTTTTTTAGACGGTCTTGCATCTGGGCAGGATGTGCATTGAGAAGCACGGAGGTGTTCCGGGGCTTCTGAGGCTCGGCGGGGTTCGACGGCTTTGTCGGTAGCGGGAACGGTTCCCGCACCTGCCTTTGAAACCATCGGGGCTTGTGTCCAGCTCACTGAGCTCATGCTCCACTCACTCGTCCTGGGGCCCTGTGCAGCAGGGGCGGTTTGGAAAGTGATGGCTCATCTTGGAGCACTGCCAGAGGGCGGGGTTGGGGTTCTGGGGACAGAGGCACGGACGCGCACCATTTCTGCACTTTGCTTCTCCTTGCACTTCCGCTCTGCGAAAGCTCTCCTGTCTGGGGGGTTCAGGCCAGCCCCAAGCACTCCTGACACACTGCTGAAGCCCGTGGGCGTGCCGCAGCCCCACACTCTCCCGCTGCCTGGCAGAAGCCGGCAGGTGCACGCAGACCACCCGGGGAACTCCCAGGCATGCCGGCTCTGGTAGCTCGGGGCTAGCATACCCGCGCCCCACAGTACCGTATCACCTGGAGAGAGCGCTCTTGACAGACGGCCGCCCCGGAGCCCTGCACAGACAGCACGCTGAAACATGCCCGGTCTGACCCCGGTAAAGAGCTACTTACTTGTCACGGGGCTGCAGCCTGAGGCTCAGGCTTCAGGTCTGCCACACATTTGGAGATGACGGAGGGACCCTGAGGGAACACAGATGGGGGGAAACTGTGCACTCAACCGTGACCTTGCTCCCGCTCACTGCCACCTCCGAGAAAGCAGGTCCACACACATCTGGAGCCCTGGTGTTTGCAAGTCTAGCCCAGAAGCCCCCTGCAGACATCCTGGTCTGGAGGCCGGCAGGGTTTACGATCAGGGTCCCACAGGTCTGCATGTATTTGCATAATTAAAAGCTGCTGCCTGAGAGCCCGGCTACCAGGCAGTCTGGAACCTGGTGCTTGGTGGATTCCTCCCTTTGGAAGACGGATGGGTCTTGGCACACCCTCAACCATGGGAGCATAGCAGGAACAAATCTGTGCTTAGACAGTTAGAGAAATTCAAGAGACAACCGAGGGACAGGCTGCAGGCGCAGACCCATCACTCGCACCGGCCACTCCTTCCAGACTGGGACTGGCGGCTGCTCCACTGATATGGAGCCCGACGAAGTGAGGAAACAGGAATTTGGTCCAGAAAAAAGAACAAGGTCAAACTTCAATGAAATGGAAATAAGTAATTTACCTGATAAATAGTTCAAAGTGATGGTCATAAAGACACTCACTGGACTCCGGAGAAGCACAGAGGAGCGCTGCGAGAACTGCCACAGAGACGGAGAGCAGGGGCGGCGCCAGACGGAAGTCCCAGAGCTGAAGGCTAACGGATCGGGATTGAAGACTGCCTGGGAACGCCCCTTAGCGGAGCAGAAGAAGGCGTCAGCGAGCCGGAGGACAGGACGGCAGCCCTCACACAGAGCAGTAAAAAGAAACAAAAACAGTGTATTTTAAATTAAGATAGCTTGAGGGAACTGTAGGACAACATCAGGTGGGACAGCATTCACATGAGGGAGTCTCAGAAGGAGGGAAAGAGAGGAAGGGGAGAAAACATAATTGAATAGACAATAGCAGAAACACCCGTGACCTAGGGAAAGAAACAGATTTCTGGGTCCAGGGAGCCTGGAGACCGTGAGATCACAGCGAGTGAATCCAGAGAGTTCACAGCAAGACACATTATAATTAAAATGTCAACGTTAACGAGAGAATCTTAAAAGCAGCAGGAGAACACCAATTTATTATATACACGGAAACCACAAAGACTCTGTGGATTTTTCAACAGAAACCTTGTGGGCCAGGAGGGAGCAGCAGGACATATTCAAAGTGCTGAAAAGGAAACCGGCGCCAAGGATGCCCTGCACAGTGTGGCTGTCATTCGGAGTTGGAGGAGGGACGGTCTTCGGGCAGGCAGCGCTGGAAGGAGCTCATCACCACTGAACAGGCCCTATCAGAAACATTAAAGGTCTGATTTCAGCTGAAAAGAGATTGGTAACAAGAAAGTAAATGAGTGTATAAACCTCACTGGCAGAGTCAACGTAGAATAAAGGTAATGGATCGATTATTTAATAAAACTGAAACTAGAGTGAAGGTTAAAAAGACAAAAGTAGTAAAAATCATAAAAACTACAATACTTCGTTGAGGGAAACACAAAGTAAAAAGATGTAAGTGCGTTATCAAAACATTAAATACAGGGAAGGCAGGCAAAAACTCAGTTTTACGCCTTCAATGTGATAGAACAAATCAATAAGAGAAGAGAGAAGAACCACATGGTCCTCTCAATTGATGCAGAAAAAGCATTTGACAAAATCCAGCATCCGTTCCTGATTAAAACGCTTCAAAGTATATAGAGATAGAAGGAACATTCCTGAACTTCATAAAATCTATCTATGAACCACCCACAGCAAATATCATCCTCAATGGGAAAAAGCTTGCAGCCTTCCCGTTGAGATCAGGAACACGACAAGGATGCCCACTCTCACCACTCTTGTTCAACATAGTACTAGAAGTCCTAGCAACAGCAATCAGACAACAAAGAGAAATAAAAGGTCTCCAAATTGGCAATGGAGAAGTCAAACTCTCTCTCTTTGCAGATGACATGATTCTTTATATGGAAAACCCAAACGACTCCACCCCCAAACGACTAGAACTCATACAGCACTTCAGGAACGTGGCAGTATACAAAGTCAATGTACAGAAGTCAGTGGCTTTCTTATACACTAACAATGAAAATACAGAAAGGGAAATTAGAGAATCGATTCCATTTACTATAGCACCAAGAACCATAAGATACCTGGGAATAAACCTAACCAAAGTGGTAAAGGATCTGTACTCGAGGAACTACAGAACACTCATGAAAGAGATTGAAGACACAAAAAGATGGAAGACCATTCCATGCTCTTGGATCGGAAGAATAAACATTGTTAAAATGTCTATACTGCCTAGAGCAATCTATACTTTTAATGCCATTCCGATCGAAATTCCACTGGTATTCTTCAAAGAGCTGGAGCAAATAATCCTAAAATTTGTATGGAATTAGAAAAGACCCCGAATCTCTAAGGAAATGTTGAAAAACAAAAATAAAACTGGGGGCATCACGTTACCTGATTTCAAGCTTTACTACAAAGCTGTGATCACCAAGACAGCATGCTACTGGCATAAAAACAGACACATAGACCATTGGAACAGAGTAGAGAGCCCAGATATGGACCCTCAACTCTATGGTCAAATAATCTTTGACAAATCAGTTTTACGCCACGTTCAAACTTACGTTGCCATCAAATTAACATAGACTGACACACACACACAAGTAAATGTGTGTGTGCACGTGTGCGTACAGGCAGTTTTATGTGACCCTTACGGGGACCGAAAAGCAGACACCTCTAGTAGAGACACGGAATATAAAGGATTCCTTGATCTAGGTGTCACACTGAAGAAAGTCCTCAAGTCACAAAGGAAAAAGAGAGGAGGAATGGAACAGAGAGACCCTGCGGAGACGTAGTCAAAAAATGGTTAACAGAAGGGCGGTTAGTTCGCGTCTTCTGATCGGTAACTACTTCACGTGTGGAAGGACTGAATTCTCTAAGGCAGAGGCGAACAGCGAGGCAGGGGAGAGGAAACAATAGCAGGCGACGTGCGGCCTCCCAGAGCCCCGCTGCGGACGTCAGACACGGAGAGGGAAGCGGGAGGACGCTCGGAGATCCTCCGTGGAGACGGAGATGAAGAGAAGAACGGAAGAACAGATGCTACAGAGGGGCTGACGTGACGCTACGGCATCGGTCCGCAGAGAAGACGTAACACTTGTAAGCATTTATGTACCCCGCACAGGAGCAACTAAATACATAAAGCCAATGTTAATACCCCTGAAGGGAGAGACCCCGGACAGCCGTGGGAGGGGACGTCGATTCCCCACCGAACCAGTGGGCTTAATTATGCAGAACATTCCATCCTGTCATAAGCAACAGAATCCACACTCTTCTCAAGGGCATCTGGAATGTCCTCCAGGACAGATCCCATGTGAAGCCACAAAGCAAGTCTCAGTGAATTTCAGAAGAGTGAATTATCGGGCATCTTTTCTGACCGACAGTGGTGTGAAACTAGAAATCAGTTACAAGAAGAAAATGGGAGGATTCACAAATATGCGGAGATTAAACAACATGCCAGTGGATGACCCATGAGTCAACCAGGAAATCAAAGGAAAAGTAAAAAAACAAAAACAAAAACCAGCTTGAGACCAATTTAAACAAAAACGAACATATAAAATTCAGCAGAAGCAGTTCTAAGAAGGAAGGTCATCGTGATACAGGCCTACTTTAGTCCGTGAGAAAAATCTCTAACAATCTAATTTTCAACCTCAAGGAACCAGAAAAAGAGCAAAGGAAGCCTAGAGTTAGTAGAGAGAGGGAACAAAGATCATTGTGGGAATGAATGGAATAGAGACAGTGAAGGATAGAGGGAAAATCGAGGACACCAAGAAGCCGGTTCTTTCAAAAGATGAACAAGGTTGATACACCTCTAGCTAGACTCCGCAAGCAAACGAGAACAGGACTCAAATCTAATCAGAAATGGAACAGAAGTTACAGCTGACACCACAGAAAGACAAAGGGTTGTAAGAGGCTGCTACGGAAAACCGTATGCCAGCAAACTGGACCCCAATTCCTATACAAATTCTCTACCCGAGGCTGAATCAGGAAGAAGTAGAATATCTGAATACTGCTTAGTAGTAAGGAGATTGACTCCGATCGGGGATCTCCAGCAAACAGAAGTCCAGGACCAGATGGTGTCACTGGTGAATTCCACCAAACGTTCAAAAAGATTTAGTACTTCTCCTTCTCAAACTCTTCCAAAACATGGAGAGGAAGGGAAGCTTCCAGACTCATTGTGT